TTGAAATAAAATCTTTTGTGACACTGTAAAATTGGCGAATGGTAGTGTATATAACATGACGGTCAAGACAAGAATATAACTGATAAATAATCAATATTACTTTATTATATATAATTATATTAAAAATAATACCCTACATTGTAATGTACAGCAGAAAAAAAGAATATTAATTGAGATTCACTAAAGATTACATTTCCTAAATTACATTTAAATATTCAGTTTTAATGAGCGTCAGATGATGGCAAAGGTAATTTAAATCTTAATCTTAAAATAGGAGAAATTATATGTAAATACCCCAAATTTCTAATATTGCCCAGTATGGTACTTGTACATAAAGCATCTCTAGAGATTTTGCCAATGGCCACTAATAGCACAATTAAACTCTTATATCAAATCCTAAATTTGATATAAGTCTTAAATCTACTGAGATCAAATCAGCTGTTACCTGGGGCCAACCAGAAGTCTTAACATGGTTTAGCAAAGCATTTTGGGAGCTCTCACAATATAACAACTGCAAAAAGGTTATGACCCCAAAGCTTTCTTGAACTGGCTTCCACCTAAAAGAGGGGCAACATGATCAGCAGGACAACAAAATTAATAATAATAATAATAAAAAAAACATAATTTGGTATTCATAAAAAAGACCTTTAAACAGCATAGGGTACATAAAGGTTATGGCAATAAGGAAGGAAATGTCCAACCGAGAAGCAAAAAAAGAGCATTTCAATATGAATATAGTGAGTGTGTGACAGAACTAAGAAGAGAGAAAGAGAGGAAGTGTGTATGTATCTCAGAGCGTTACACAATCACCACCGTCATTGTGAAGTATGTTGTGATGTATTCCTCTTTTGAGTAACACTCAGATGCACACATACACACACACAGACCATTAGACGCTTCTTCTGCTCAAACTATCTTTTATCCCTTCAAGTCTGCACTGCAGCAGAGTGCCAGATTGTGTTCTCTAGCCAAAGAAAAGCAATGGATTTAGTATCTGGTATCTGGCGTGCGTGTGGATGTGCGAGGGTGTGTGTGTGTGTATGTGTATCTGATTCTTGTGTGTCTGTATGATTGCACACTGGAGCGTGACTGTCCCACATGGTGTGTGCATGTGATGCCATAGGCTGGTGCTGAGTTCTGGCCTGGTTCCTTTTTCCTTTGGTCTCCCAAGGAGACTGATCCTACAGAACAGGTGTCACTGTTTTAGCTGCCATAGTCCATGTGCATGTGTTTGTGTGTTTGATGCCACAGGCTGTGCCGCCCTACCAAGTCTCCACTCACTCAGCAATGATCCATCCACTGCATGTTACCGCCGATGCACAATGTCCATTCAACTTGGACAGGAGGCCACAGTGTGAAACCAGCCGAGGCATTTACAAACCCCTGTTCTTCTGTTAAAACACGTCACTACCTCCATCCGTGCAAGAACAGATTACAGACATGACCACTAACATAAGGTAATGAATGCAGGACTTAAAAGGTCAAAGGGTGAATGTCACAAAAACACGTCTAGATTACATTTCACCCTGAAATCAAAAGAAAAAAGGTTCATTATAAAAGAAAATATATTATCAATGTCGAAAACTGGTGTTTTTTTGTTTTTGTGGAAACGGTAATACATTTATTTTTCAGAATTGTTTGATGAATAGAACGTTCAAAAGAACAGCGTTTATTTGAAATAGAACTGTTTTGTAACCTTAAAAATGTCTTTACTGTCACTTTTGAGCAATTTAATGTGTCCTTGCGGAATAAAAGATAATTTCTTGAAAAAATAAAAAATCTTAATGACCCCCCCCAAACCTTTTTGGATGGTAGTGTATATTAAATGTATCTATAAATAAATATTTTTCAGCATTACTGTATTAAGAATAAGGTGTTTTTTGCATTACCAAAGGGATAATTTGAGAGGAAATGTGCTTAATTGTCATAAAAAAAAAAAAATAACATAATAATTCTAATAGTCCTAAAACAAGCTTAATTTTCTTAACATTATTATATTCATCTTTTGATTTTGGGGTGAGTTATAACCCACAGAGATTATCGAACTTATTTTTAAATGTCATTAAAAAAACATGATCTTAATAAGGCCATGAGCTTGGCCTCTACAAATCTGTTTCACTTGCATCACACATGCATGCACACATTCACGTGCAAACACACAAGTCCAAAGGGACAAAAATGAGTGTACCTCTCCAAAACACTCTTTTCCGTTCTTTTACCGTTTCCTCTGACATGCCCATGCCCAGTGAGTCCAACAGAGCCCCAGGAAGCACCACCACCATACAGACAACAGAGAGAATGAGCAGATGGTCTGACAGAATCAGAGAGAGAGACAGAGAGATGGCAAAAGGAATGGGGAGGCGTAGGAGCATGAGAGTATGAAGGATTTTTTTTTACTGGCACTCATATAAGCAAAGACCTTATAAACTCATCATTCCGACAGAGTATTTTTAAAACAGTCTAACACCTCTACCACAGCACTGTTCTACCAAACCATTAGCACTCTGATGGGAAAGGAACTTATAAACAGCAAGCCAACAAATTGAGCTAAGGAGACTGACCAACAGAAAAGTTCTGCTGCTGACGAAATCCAAATGGTGACAGGGCATTACTGTGATCTCAGGTCCTGAATAACCTCTATAAGGGCTTTTTAAACTCAATGGCAAGTTACATATGACAACTCTGCAAGAAATGGAGTATACATTAGTATTAGTACTCTAGCTCTGTAACAGTACACCTAACATTACAGAGAACTTAACACATGGCAGTCTGCCAATCACGATAGAAGAACAGATTTAAAGTCTCTAAATGTTGCTATTGTATTACAGTGATCTTTCTGCATAAGTGAATGCACAGGGAAGAGGAATCGTCTTGGTGTAGTGCTTCGATATCCCAAAAGTTGCAGTTTCATTGTGAAAGGAATTCTGCTCAACTACTGCATCCTTTCGTGGGCCTTCAGGTTATTCCAATGAGACATTTCTTGCTAAATGTCTTCTGCAAGCATAGGCGCCGAATGAAAAAACACAAGATATTTCCTATTAATTTTAACCAATCAATCAATCATTAAATAAATAAATAAATAAGGAGGGTGGTCACTCACCCACAGAAACATAAACCGCCGCCTACTGTATGTCTGCAAGCAACTATATAACGAATTTGGTAAATGACAATCAGCAATAAACATGAGAAAATATTAAAGAGATAGTTTATCCAAAAGATAAAACATTCTGTGAGAATTTAATCAACATGTCATTTTAAACCTGTATGAGTTTCCTCTGGGAAACACAAAAGGATATTTTGAAACAATGTTTTTTTTCCCCCAGCGAAAACAGCGAAAGTCAGGGTTTTTTTACAGCGAAAGTCAGTGGGATCCAAACATTTGTGTTCCGTGGAAGAAAGTAAGTCATACAGGTTTGGAATGAAATAAATGTAAGTAAATAATGACAGATTTGTCATTTTTAGGTAAACTATAACTATTTTTCAAAATGTAGTTTCTTACTGACTTCAAAATACATGTTTTTTATGCACATTATAATCTATCTATTTTCATGTAACACTCAGTTCTGACCAAATCACTACTCAGTGCGGTTCACTCAACAGTGTACATACAGTATTAAAAAGCAACTGAGTTTTGGGTTCAGAAGACTTTCTTTAAGCCTCCATTCTTCATTTCTCTCCTTGTTCCTCCTGCTTTGCTCCACTCCACACTGCAAGGCTCCGCTAAAGCTCATATGCTGACATCAGCAGCCCCCCTCCACACTCACACAAGCACTCAAACAGTCACTCGCGCACTCCGCCAATCCCGAACAGCGGGAAACCATGCACACCCACGCAGCCTCAGGCCTCTGAACACAGACCTATACACGTAACACATGCTTACACATGTATATGAAAAACACATGCACATCAGGCCCCCTGGGGGGGGGGGGGGGGG